CCTTTAAAGCTACAATCTGGAATTTGTATTTCAGAAATATGGCAGCCCCCCCCCCCCCCCCGCCACCTGAATTTGTTATACAGAATTCAGACAAGTGCTCTAGATGTAAGGGCTGACAGTCATCACATGGGTACGAATAATTAAAATGATTCCCAGATCGTACCTTTAAGAGTATAGGTTGAGATGTGCAGAGCCCATCAGTCACCAGGGGTCACATCATATGATTACTGTAAGTACGATGTGTATGACACTGTGTGTTCTATTTGAACAAACCTAACTGAGTGGTGACTCTTAGAGCTGGCAGTGGCGCTACAGGTCAGGGGGGTGTGTCAGAAATATATTTTGCTATTTTCACAGCGGCTATTATGAGGGCAATAGCTGGCGGTGGCGCGAAACGGCTGGGTTTTGATGAGCAAAACAAGTCGTGGGTGTGACGAGGGCTTGGCCACTCACTGGCCAATCAAGCCATCCCATGGATTAATTCTGCACGCGTTTGTCTCAAGTTCTGCAGGTTATTATTGACGGTCTTTGCATTGTCATCAACCCAAATCGGGATGGGGTCTGACCCTGTATATAGCTGTCCCTGTATCTACAGTTGAAGTCGGAAGTTTGCATACACCTTAGCCAAATACATTTAAACTCAGTTTTTCACAATTGCTGACATTTAATCCTAGTAATTATTCCCTGTCTTAGGTCAGTTAGGATCACCCCTTTATTTTAAGAATGTGAAATGATTTATTTCAGCTTTTATTTATTTCATCACATTCCCAGTGGGTCAAAGGTTTACATACACTCAATTAGTATTTGGTAGCATTGCCTTTAAATTGTTTAACTTGGGTCAAACGTTTCGGGTAGCCTTCCACAAGCTTCCCACAATAAGTTGGGTGAATTTTGTCCCATTCCTCCTGACAGAGCTGGTGTATCTGAGTCAGGTTTGTTGGCCACCTTGCTCGCAAACGCGTTCTCAGTTCTGCCCACATATTTTCTGTAGGATTGAGGACAGGGCATTGTGATGGCCACTCCAATACCTTGACTTTGTTGTCCTTAAGACATTTTGCCACAACTTTGGACGTATGCTTGGGGTCATTGTCCATTTGGAAGACCCATTTGCGACCAAGCTTTAACTTCCTGACTGATGTCTTGAGATGTGTCTTCAATATATCCACATAATTTTCCTTCCTCATGATGCCATCTATTTTGTGAAGTGCACCAGTCCCTCCTGCAGCAAAGCACCCCCACAGCATGATGCTGCCACCCCCGTGCTTCACGTTTGGGATGGTGTTCTTCGGCTTGCAAGCATCCCCCTTTTCCCCCAAACATAAGGATGGTCATTATGGCCAAACAGTTATATTTTTGTTTCATCAGACCAGAGGACATTTCTCCAAAAAGTACGATCTTTGTCCCCATGTGCAGTTGCAAACCATAGTCTGGCTTTTTTATGGTGGTTTTGGAGCAGTGGCCTCTTCCTTGCTGAGCGGCCGTTCAGGTTATGTCGACATAGGACTCATTTTACTGTGGATATATATACTTTTGTACCTGTTCCAGCATCTTCACAAGGTCCTTTGCTGTTGTTCTGGGATTGATTTGCACTTTTCGCACCAAAGTACGTTCATCTCTAGGAGACAGAACGCGTCTCCTTCCTGAGCGGTATGACGGCTGTGTGTTCCCATGGTGTTTATACTTGCATACTATTGTTTGTACAGATGAACGTGGTACCTTCATCCGTTTGGAAATTGCTTTTGCTGATTTATTTTGATTTTCCCATGATGTCAAGCAAAGAGGCACTGAGTTTGAAGGTAGGCCTTGAAATACATCCACAGGTACACCTCCAATTGACTCAAATGATGTCAATTAGCCTATCAGAATCTTCTAAAGCCATGACATCATTTTCTGGAATTTTCCAAGCTGTTTAAAGGCACAGTCAACTTATTGTATGTAAACTTCTGACCCACTGGAATCGTGATGCAGTGAATTATAAATGAAATAATCTGTCTGTAAACATTTGTTGGAAAAATGACTTGTGTCATGCACAAAGTAGATGCCCTAACCGACTTGCCAAAACTATAGTTTGTTAACAAGAAATTTGTGGAGTGGTTGAAAATGAGTTTTAATGACTCCAACCTAAGTGTATGTAAACTTCCAACTTCAACTGTAGCTGACCCTGAATAGAGATTACAGTCTCTTTTTTTTTTCTTCTTTCTTATTTCTCCAGTGTTTTTTAGTTATACTATAGTGATAATGAATAATGCTGCAAGGAAGGGCTTCCAAGGTATTGTGACAAATACAACTTGAAACTAGAAAGCCCAAAATAGCCAGATAACTTCCTTATTACACTCAAGTCAACAATCAAAACATTGGGTTGAACTAACAGTGTTGTGTAGCACTTCATAACCTTAATTACAATTTGAAGTCACTAATAGTCGGCTTTCAGAACTGTAACTAGCTAACGACAAAGCTTCAGAAGTTGCTCTGACTTGTTTGGAACATTTGTCATGAAATCGCTCCCTTCGGGTATTTTTCTGGAACATTTGTCATGAAATCTCTCCCTTCGGATATTTGTCTGGAACATTTGTCATGAAGTCTCTCCCTTCGGGTATTTGTCTGGAACATTTGTCATGAAGTCTCTCCCTTCAGGTATTTATCTGGAACATTAGTCATGAAGTCTCTCCCTTCAGGTATTTTTCTGGAACATTTGTCATGAAGTCTCTCCCTTCAGGTATTTTTCGAGAACATTTGTCATGTAGTCTCTCCCTTCAGGTATTTATCTGGAACACTTGTCATGAAGTCACCACGGAAAGGAAAGAAAGCTGAAAGCTGCACAGATGATCTCAAATCCTAGAAATCCGAGTGAGGAGGCCAGCTAGTACAGCAGCGTCCAATATTACGTATCACTGGAGAATGCTCTGTGTTTCATTTGGACCCTAAACAGTCTTTCAGCTGATCAATGCTTTGCAGCTCTGCAGCTATGAGGAGTTGCACGGGGTGTATTAAATGGTGGAGGAACCCCGCCCACTTCCGTCCTTCAATTGTGACTGAATATTTCCTCTCTCTGAGAGGTATGAATAGTGTCACCATGAGGCCAATGACTAACTGTTATTCTGTCGGGCTGTTCCACGACCATGTTGGAGGAAACAGACACAGCACTGGGGACACACGACCATGTTGGAGGAAACAGACAGCACTGGGGAGACACAACCATGTTGGAGGAAACAGACACAGCACTGGGGACACACGACCATGTTGGAGGAAACAGACAGCACTGGGGAGACACGACCATGTTGGAGGAAACAGACACAGCACTGGGGAGACACTGCCATGTTGGAGGAAACAGACACAGCACTGGGGAGACACGACCATGTTGGAGGAAACAGACACAGCACTGGGGAGACACGGCCATGTTGGAGGAAACAGACACAGCACTGGGGAGACACGGCCATGTTGGAGGAAACAGACACAGCACTGGGGAGACACGACCATGTTGGAGGAAACAGACACAGCACTGGGGAGACACGGCCATGTTGGAGGAAACAGACACAGCACTGGGGAGACACGACCATGTTGGAGGAAACAGACACAGCACTGGGGAGACACGGCCATGTTGGAGGAAACAGACACAGCACTGGGGAGACACGGCCATGTTGGAGGAAACAGACACAGCACTGGGGAGACACGACCATGTTGGAGGAAACAGACAGCACTGGGGAGACACGACCATGTTGGAGGAAACAGACACAGCACTGGGGAGACACTGCCATGTTGGAGGAAACAGACACAGCACTGGGGAGACACGACCATGTTGGAGGAAACAGACACAGCACTGGGGAGACACGGCCATGTTGGAGGAAACAGACACAGCACTGGGGAGACACGGCCATGTTGGAGGAAACAGACACAGCACTGGGGAGACACGACCATGTTGGAGGAAACAGACACAGCACTGGGGAGACACGGCCATGTTGGAGGAAACAGACACAGCACTGGGGAGACACGACCATGTTGGAGGAAACAGACACAGCACTGGGGAGACACGGCCATGTTGGAGGAAACAGACACAGCACTGGGGAGACACGGCCATGTTGGAGGAAACAGACACAGCACTGGGGAGACACGACCATGTTGGAGGAAACAGACACAGCACTGGGGAGACACGACCATGTTGGAGGAAACAGACACAGCACTGGGGAGACACGGCCATGTTGGAGGAAACAGACACAGCACTGGGGAGACACAACCATGTTGGAGGAAACAGACACAGCACTGGGGAGACACGACCATGTTGGAGGAAACAAGACACAGCACTGGGGAGACACGGCCATGTTGGAGGAAACAGACACAGCACTGGGGAGACACGACCATGTTGGAGGAAACAGACACAGCACTGGGGAGACACGACCATGTTGGAGGAAACAGACACAGCACTGGGGAGACACGGCCATGTTGGAGGAAACAGACACAGCACTGGGGAGACACGGCCATGTTGGAGGAAACAGACACAGCACTGGGGAGACACGGCCATGTTGGAGGAAACAGACACAGCACTGGGGAGACACGGCCATGTTGGAGGAAACAGACACAGCACTGGGGAGACACGGCCATGTTGGAGGAAACAGACACAGCACTGGGGAGACACAACCATGTTGGAGGAAACAGACACAGCACTGGGGAGACACGGCCATGTTGGAGGAAACAGACACAGCACTGGGGAGACACGGCCATGTTGGAGGAAACAGACACAGCACTGGGGAGACACGGCCATGTTGGATGAAACAGACACAGCACTGGGGAGACACGGCCATGTTGGATGAAACAGAGCAACAACCACTTATTTCCATGGGCTCTATCCATGCACCTCAATTTGAACGTCTCTTCAAGTAAAAGTAACTTCCATAAAAAGGTTACCAAATAACTCTAAAATTTACTTTAAATCAGAACCCTTACTGTACATTTCTAGGGAATAAATGAACAAAAAAAAAATGAACAAAAAAATACAAACTTACTGAATTTACGATGCCTTTGAGTGCATGGAAGCCGTCTTTGACTGGGAACACTTGATATTTGGTGTCAGCTACCTCGGCTAGCTGTTGTTCGTCAAAGTCCTTGATACCAACACAGTACACTCGAGCACCGTAGTCCCTCGATTTGTTTGCCTGCATTAGAGAACAACACAAATACAGTGGGGAAAAAAAGTATTTAGTCAGCCACCAATTGTGCAAGTTCTCCCACTTAAAAAGATGAGAGAGGCCTGTAATTTTCATCATACGTACACGTCAACTATGACAGACAAATTGAGAAAAAGAAATCCAGAAAATCAAATTGTAGGATTTTTTATGAATTTATTTGCAAATTATGGTGGAAAATAAGTATTTGGTCACCTACAAACAAGCAAGATTTCTGGCTCTCACAGACCTGTAACTTCTTCTTTAAGAGGCTCCTCTGTCCTCCACTTGTTACCTGTATTAATGGCACCTGTTTGAACTTGTTATCAGTATAAAAGACACCTGTTCACAACCTCAAACAGTCACACTCCAAACTCAACTATGGCGAAGACCAAAGAGCTGTCAAAGGACACCAGAAACAAAATTGTAGACCTGCACCAGGCTGGGAAGACTGAATCTGCAATAGGTAAGCAGCTTGGTTTGAAGAAATCAACTGTGGGAGCAATTATTAGGAAATGGAAGACATACAAGACCACTGATAATCTCCCTCGATCTGGGGCTCCACGCAAGATCTCACCCCGTGGGGTCAAAATGATCACAAGAACGGTGAGCAAAAATCCCAGAACCACACGGGGGGACCTAGTGAATGACCTGCAGAGAGCTGGGACCAAAGTAACAAAGCCTACCATCAGTAACACACTACGCCGCCAGGGACTCAAATCCTGCAGTGGCAGACGTGTCCCCCTGCTTAAGCCAGTACATGTCCAGGCCCGTCTGAAGTTTGCTAGAGTGCATTTGGATGATCCAGAAGAGGATTGGGAGAATGTCATATGAAACCAAAATATAACTTTTTGGTAAAAACTCAACTCGTCGTGTTTGGAGGACAAAGAATGCTGAGTTGCATCCAAAGAACACCATACCTACTGTGAAGCATGGGGGTGGAAACATCAAGCTTTGGGGCTGTTTTTCTGCAAAGGGACCAGGACGACTGATCCGTGTAAAGGAAAGAATGAATGGGGCCATGTATCGTGAGATTTTGAGTGAAAACCTCCTTCCGTCAGCAAGGGTATTGAAGATGAAACGTGGCTGGGTCTTTCAGCATGACAATGATCCCAAACACACCGCCCGGGCAACGAAGGAGTGGCTTCGTACGAAGCATTTCAAGGTCCTGGAGTGGCCTAGCCAGTCTCCAGATCTCAACCCCATAGAAAATCTTTGGAGGGAGTTGAAAGTCTGTGTTGCCCAGCGACAGCCCCAAAACATCACTGCTCTAGAGGAGATCTGCATGGAGGAATGGGCCAAAATACCAGCAACAGTGTGTGACAACCTTGTGAAGACTTACAGAAAACGTTTGACCTGTGTCATTGCCAACAAAGGGTATATAACAAAGTATTGAGAAACTTTTGTTATTGACCAAATACTTATTTTCCACCATAATTTGCAAATAAATTCATAAAAAATCCTACAATGTGATTTTCTGGATTTTCTTTCCTCATTTTGTCTGTCCTAGTTGACTTGTACCTATGATGAAAATTACAGGCCTCTCTCATCTTTTTAAGTGGGAGAACTTGCACAATTGGTGGCTGACTAAATACTTTTTTTCCCCACTGTAACTTTAACTTTACAACAATAAGTAACACTCTGGATACTAAGGGACGGTTTCTTGAATCCAGCATGGCGTTGGACTAGTCATGGATGACAAAGCATTTAAATGAAAGATTCTCCATTGAGCATGCTTTTTAGTCCAACGCCATGCTTAATCGGTGTCTGGAAAAAAGAACCTTGAACTAATAAACATGAAAATGTAAACATCGTTTTTGAATAAAATCAAGCTCACCGCTTGAACTGTTAAGTCGTATATGTAGACATCTAGCTTTCCGTCCGTCAGAGCTACGATGATGCTGGAGGACTTGATGGTTTGGGCTTTGATTTGATCGTTTGCCTTTTGGTTCAACCACAAGCGGTGGAAATGGAGGAATAAACAGACATATGTGATTATGAATGAATAAGAACAAACTGTACAGGGTTGGGGTCAATTTATTTTAAATTCAGTCAATTTAGCCAGGAAGTAAACAGAAATTCCAACGCCGATTTCAATTTTCCTCCATGCTTTCAAATAAGGAAAATTGGACTTGGATTTAAAGTTCATTTCCTGAATCAATTGACTATATTTGAAATGGAATACAGTATTTCTGTAGAAGAGAAATTCAGACCGAAGCGTTTAATATGACTGCGTACTTCTTCCCTTCACACTGCACCTTATAGGGCGGCAGGTAGCGTAGCGGTTAAGAGTGTTGGGCCAGCAACCGAAAGGTCGCTGATTTGAATCCTCCAGCCGGCATGGTGGAAGAAATCTGCCGTTCTGCCCTTGAGCAAGGCTGTTAACCCCCAACAACAACTGCTCCTCCCCCGGGGCGCTTAAGGCAGCCCCGCGCACCTCTCTGATTCAGAGGTGTTGGGTTAAATGGAGAATGCATTCAGTTGTGCAGCTGACTAGGTATCCCCTTTCACTCTGGTCAAAAGTAGTGCACTATATAGGGAATATGGTGCCAATTGGAACCCAGACTACGAGTTAGAAGTTATTATTTAGGTCACTTGGAGTATTTCCAACATGGAAGGCATCTGAATTGCTCCCTATCTAAAACAGTGTTTAGTGCCAAACTGATCAAACACACCAAAGCCTAGCAGACTAGTAAAGACATGGCCAATGGCAGAATGACAAGGCTAGCACAGTATCTTAATGTTATGATCATAACATGGGGGATATTCTCTACAGTACTGAAGCCTTCTCTAGTGAGGTGTGGTCATGTCATTAGAAGAGTGGTTTTGACTAGGTTTAGGGTTAGGTTTAGGGTTAGGTTTAGGGTTAGGTTTAGGTTTAGGTTTAGGTTTAGGGTTAGGTTAAGGATTAGGTTTTGGTTTAGGATTAGGTTAAGAGTAGGTTTAGGGTTAGGTTTAGGGTTAGGTTAAGGGTTAGGTTACGGGTTAGGTTAAGGGTTAGGTTAAGGGTTAGATTACGGGTTAGGTTAAAGGTTAGGGTTAGGGTTAGGGTTATGTTTAGGGTTAGGTTTAGGGTTAGGTTTAGAGTAGATTTAGGGTTAGGTTTAGGGTTAGAATAAGGGTTAGGTTTAGGGTTAGGTTTAGGGTTAGGTTTAGGGTTAGGTTTAGGGTTAGAATAAGGGTTAGGTTAAGGGTTAGGTTAAGGGTTAGGTTACGGGTTAGGTTAAAGGTTAGGGTTAGGGTTAGGTTTAGGGTTAGGTTTAGAGTAGATTTAGGGTAAGGGTTAGTGGATAGTCAGTGTAACATCTATAAAGCATCTATTGGGGATTATCCCATACTGTACCGCTTTAATCCCTTCATGCATGTAGGTTTCCCCTGCTGGCTTCACCTCTCTCAGTCTCTCCAGGCCTTCCTGGATTTCATATCTTCAAAACAGAAAGACATCAATTCACTATCCAACGTGTTCCGCTACAGCGGGTGTGTTTACGAGTGGATACATATATAAACAGCCACAGGGGACCGTCATGACTGAACTTCAACCACACGAGTCAGTTTAACGCTTTTTAGTACTTGTTATAGCAACAATATGTTATTACAAGGTTTATTACATTGTCAATAGGAGGAATATATATATAATACCTGTCTCCAGTGAGAGGTAACATCACTTTGGCTGAAGATGAGAACACTATAAAGGAAACCCTCATTCTGGGGCTGGAAGGAAACAAAACAGTAGATTATGCACTGAGTGGACAAAACATTAAGAACACACTGCTCTTTCCATGACATAGACTGACAAGGTGAATCCAGGTGAAAGCTACGATCCCTTATTGATGCCACTCCAATCAGTGTAGATGAAGGGGAGGAGACAGGTTAAATAAGTATTTTTAAGCCTTGAGACAATTGTGTATGTGTGCCATTCAGAGGGTGAATGGGCAAGACAACAGATTTAAGTGCCTTTGAACGGGTTATGGTAGTTTTATTTTATATTTTACCAAGTCAGTTCAGAACAAATTCTTATTTACAATGACAGCCTACACCGGCCAAACCCGGACGACACTGGGCCAATTGTGTGCCGCCCTATGGGACTCCCAATCACGGCCGGTTGTGATACATCCTGGAATCGAACCAGGGGGGTCTGTAGTGACGCCTCAAGCACTGAGATGCACTGCGCCACTCGGTTTGTGTCAAGAACTTCAACGCTGCTGGGTTTTTCACGCTCAACAGTTTCCCGTGTGTATCAAGAATGGTCCACCACCCAAAGGACATCCAGCCAACTTGACACAACTGTGGGAAGCATTGGAGTCAACATGGGCCAGCATTCCTATGGAACGCTTTTCGACACCTTGTAGAGTCCATGCCCCGACGAATTGAGGCTGTTCTGAGGGCAAAAGGGGGGGGGGGTGCAACTCAATATTAGGAAGGTGTTGTTAATGTTTGGTACTCAGTGTATATCAGGTCAGTGTATATCGGTAGTAGCTTTTACTGTTGTATACTGTCTACACTAAAATGCAATTCTACACATCCTTTTTCCCTTTGAGACTGCACAGTAATACAACTCAACTATCTGTGAAGGTGTGACCATTAGGATCTCATTGACATGAGGAAACAACATGAGATAGACAGTTATTGAATAGGCTGTCTTAAGTGTATAGACATTATTTCAGATACGCAGTGTTACATGGTATACAAGACACCAATACACTAGTTTGTATCACCTCATTCTAGTGTGACTTAAGGGAGGATATGCTGTTCTCCTGTGGAAGGAGGAAGTGATAACAGACAGGAAACAGGTTGTCATGACAATGACACATCAATACAAACACACACACACACACACACACTCAACTAGTCTCAGCTAGTCTCAGCTAGTGTCAACTGGTGTCAACTGTTCACAGCTAGTGTCAACTAATCTCAGCTAGTCTCAGCGACTCTCAGCTAGTCTCAGCTAATCTCAAGTAGTCACAGCTAGTCTCAACTAGTCTCAGCTACTCAGCTAGTCTCAACTAGTCTCAGCTAGCCTCAGCTAGTGTCAACTAGTCTCAACTAGTCTCAGCTACTCTGAGCTAGTCTCAACTAGTCCCAACAACTCTCAGCCAGTCTCAGCCAATCTCAGCCAGTCTCAGACAGTCTCAGCTAGTCTCAACTAGTCTCAGCTAGTCTCAGCCAGTCTCAACTAGTCTCAGCTAGTCTCAGCCAGTCTCAACTAGTCTCAGCCAGTCTCAGCCAGTCTCAGCTAGTCTCAGCCAGTCTCAGCCAGTCTCAGCTAGTCTCAGCCAGTCTCAGCCAGTATCAGCCAGTCTCATCCAGTCTCAGCCAGTCTCAGCCAGTATCAGCCAGTCTCAGCCAGTATCAGCCAGTCTCACCCAGTCTCAGCCAGTATCAGCCAGTCTCAGCTAGTCCTCCCCCACAGTCACAGCACATAGCATCTTTACGCCACACGGCCATATCTGGCAAGGAAATACAGCAGCCATATAGATCATGTGCTTTCTGAAGAAGTATTTTTGGAACATGACTGAGTAGTTTGTTTGAGGACAACTGAGAAATTGTGGGTGTCAAACAATTTGTATCAGTTTTAACTTTAGACAGGTGATGGATTGGCTAGAATCACATCTGATCCATACAGACTGTATTGAACTTATTTATCTAGACTACATCTCGGGCTAGACTGAAATATAAGCCTGTCATTTCAATTAAATCCTTCTACAGTTTTCTCTTCCAACCAACACTGAATAAATCAAGAGCTTGCTTGCAATGCCAGACTGAGAGAAAAAAAAAAGAGTGAAATCTCTCCAGCCTGCATGCTCCACATGGCAGAACAGAAGTGTTCCTGGTAAACGAGCATTGTGTAGCAGATTGTCCTCGCCTCTCTGTGTTCTTTTGCCTTACTGTACATTCCCTGCCTCCGTGCCTCTCCCTGGCCCATTCCGTGCAGACCCCCTTGGTTCAAATACTATTTGAAATCATTTAATTCATTTTAAAATGCTTTATCTGTGCTTGACTAAGCTTGCCTGGCTTTGAATGAACCAATAGAATAGTCCCAAAACGGTACGCTTCGCCCATCTGGCACTCTAGGCAGGCTAGAGCAAACGCTCAAAGTATTTGAAACATTGTCAAATATTACCCGAACCCAGGTCTTCTGGCCCATTCTGCGCTCGGAAGGAGGGATAGATATCTATGTGTGGGGACCACCCCGGTCCAAATGGCCATTCTCACAGCCCAGAAGACTGATCCTCGCTGCCACCCACTCACACCTGGCCCATTTGCTATTTTCTTCAACAAACCGTTTCTTCATTTATGTTTGGCTGGGTCGATACCGTCTGGACTGGCACATAACATTGAGTCAACCGACGTTGTTACGCAATCCAAAAAATTAAGCCTGCAATCAGGGCCACTGGAAAACGTGTGGCTATCCGGCATGTGCCACAGCACTTTTCAATCAGGTGTGGGGCCATACCATTTGATATTTTGAATTTTAGGACCCCTTTAGGTATAAAATATATAAAAAAGGATTTGATAAAATATTGAAGTTTGCCTTTAGTAGGTTTTAAAGTGTCTGGAGATATAAGAAGGCTGAGGATGTAATTTTTATTTATTTAACGACTTTCAGGATGTCTCATGGTCTGACGAACACCGCTGTAGTTCGGCCACCTTCGGGATGTCTCATGGTCTGACGGACACCGCTGTAGCTCGGCCACCTTCAGGATGTCTCATGGTCTGACGAACACCGCCGTAGCTCGGCCACCTTCGGGATGTCTCATGGTCTGACGGACACCGCTGTAGCTCGGCCACCTTCAGGATGTCTCATGGTCTGACGAACACCGCCGTAGCTCGGCCACCTTCGGGATGTCTCATGGTCTGACGAACACCGCCGTAGCTCGGCCACCTTCGGGATGTCTCATGGTCTGACGAACACCGCCGTAGCTCGGCCACCTTCGGGATGTCTCATGGTCTGACGAACACCGCCGTAGCTCGGCCACCTTCGGGATGTCTCATGGTCTGACGGACACCGCTGTAGCTCGGCCACCTTCAGGATGTCTCATGGTCTGACGAACACCGCTGTAGTTCGGCCACCTTCGGGATGTCTCATGGTCTGACGGACACCGCTGTAGCTCGGCCACCTTCAGGATGTCTCATGGTCTGACGAACACCGCCGTAGCTCGGCCACCTTCGGGATGTCTCATGGTCTGACGGACACCGCTGTAGCTCGGCCACCTTCAGGATGTCTCATGGTCTGACGAACACCGCCGTAGCTCGGCCACCTTCGGGATGTCTCATGGTCTGACGAACACCGCCGTAGCTCGGCCACCTTCGGGATGTCTCATGGTCTGACGAACACCGCCGTAGCTCGGCCACCTTCGGGATGTCTCATGGTCTGACGAACACCGCCGTAGCTCGGCCACCTTCGGGATGTCTCATGGTCTGACGGACACCGCTGTAGCTCGGCCACCTTCAGGATGTCTCATGGTCTGACGAACACCGCCGTAGCTCGGCCACCTTCGGGATGTCTCATGGTCTGACGGACACCGCTGTAGCTCGGCCACCTTCGGGATGTCTCATGGTCTGACGAACACCGCCGTAGCTCGGCCACCTTCGGGATGTCTCATGGTCTGACGAACACCGCCGTAGCTCGGCCACCTTCGGGATTTCTCATGGTCTGACGAACACCGCTGTAGCTCGGCCACCTTCGGGATGTCTCATGGTCTGACGAACACCGCCGTAGCTCGGCCACCTTCGGGATGTCTCATGGTCTGACCAACACCGCCGTAGCTCGGCCACCTTCGGGATGTCTCATGGTCTGACCAACACCGTCGTAGCTCGGCCACCTTCGGGATGTCTCATGGTCTGACGAACACCGCCGTAGCTCGGCCACCTTCCACCGCAGAAGCTTAAACCGATGGATGTATTATATTACTTATACTGATGCACCGGTGTTATGTTCAGACTGGTACTTTTTATATTTTATTATTATTTTATTTTTATTTTTTTACTTCAAAACCCACCAGTTGAGAATCGCTGGTCTAGCCTGCTATGCGCCGTGGTAAACATGACTGAGTAGTGCGTAAACAAAGCAGTAACCTTGTGTGTTTATCGGCCATTTGTTTGTGAGAAAATGTGAATGGGATCAAATTTGGTTTATATTCAAACTTGGACTGACTAGGATAGATTTTATCCAAAAATGTATTAGGCCTACAGTTGACTACATGATGCAGACCTGCATAAAGCTAGCTCTGGCCTGTGAGTTTTATTGTCCAATCATGTTGCTTTCTCTGTGTCTGTATAGGAAACCCAATAGTCCTTCTTTTAAAATATAATTCATATGAACAAGTACAAGGTTGCTGCAGTTTGACGGGTTTTTTCATCCTCCCAAAGGCAAGGTGTTTTTTTTAAAACCATATGGCCTGATTAGAAAACACTCTGGTCCGGG